AGCATCCAAAGCAGGTTAGATAGTGTCCATCTGTGGAATTGTATTATCAATGCAAGTTTGGTTCAGTTAGGGCTTATTGAAACTTGGAGATGGACCTGCTTCAAAAGTTTTACCTGGACAATATTCTTTGAAAATTATTTAAAGACAATTTTATAGATTAATCAAGTTTAAAACTGTTGATGTCACAGAATAGCTCTCACTTATAGGTATCAACATATTAAGGGTACTTAACACAAACAAAAAAATGAATGTATGGATTGATATATAATTTTTTCGACTGATTTTGATGGAAAAAGACATAAATAATAAATCCCCGAATTATAAAGAAATCGTAGGTTTTCCTTGGTGCTTAGATATGAGACTTTGTTTTGCTTTCTATATAATTCCATACAAAATTTTGGACAATTTTTTAACCTTATGACAAAATGGCCAACATGGTAATAAGAATCATGCACGGATCTGGAGTCTAGAGGAGGGGGTACGGGGACTGTGGACACCTCCTGGAATTTCCTGAGTTACTAAATGCATGGACCAAATAAACAGTGACATCGTAACCCCACTAGAAAATAGGTTTTTAACTTTTAAGAAATGATTTTACATTTTTTGAGCTTGTTAAAAAACTTCTTGGTTGGAAATTTCGGCTGGAAAAATTCCTGGATCTGTGCTTGAAAATGAACAGCTCTGATCAGTATGAATTCAGTATGTATGAGCATGTGAGGTTTGATAAAATATCTTACGGAACTTTAAAATTGAAATAATAATTATTTTAAAAAGTAATAGACAAGGTCAAAGAAAAAAATCAAGACCATAAGATTATCATGAAATATAATAGCATTCATCAAAATGTGTCAGCTTAAAAATTTTGATGAAAATATTACGAATAGTATTTTGAAACTTAGAAAAAGAGAATTGTGTGAAAAGTTGAGTCAAGGTCAAAAGATTGCTTGAATGACTGTTTGTTGTTCAAGTACCTCTCGAGAATTTTTCACTCATATGGAGATGCCACACAAACTTTGCAGGCATGGGCAGGATTACTGAAATATGGAATCGATTAATAATGGATTACTTTGGGGAATTTTGTGTTATCGATTGATAATCGATTACAGTTAGTTTTATCCTGTAATCGATTGTAATTGATTACTTTGGACAATGTAATCGATTAATAATCGATTACTGTCAATTCTATTCCACCCTCAAATATCAACGCACAAAAATATTTAAAAATATGCATTGATGTTGATGATATCCTCTTAAATTCGAATGTATTGATACAGTTTGGATTTGAACCTCCATATTATGATTTTTACAACAAGTATTTAATAAGTTACAGAGATTTACAAGTATTTGGATATTCTACATGTTGGCAGTACACATAATAAACAAACCCTGATTATTGATTATTTCGAAAAAACATTAAATAGATTTAGAATTCTTACTCAATTAACATGTAAACTCAATGTACCTTTAAGGTCATACGCAACATAGTTTGAACTTTTTTGGATTTTTCCCTGGAGTTGAAGAGTTCCACTATATGAAGAACCTGTGTGCAATATTTTTAATGTCTATATATGGATTTGTACACCTCTTCTAAAACAATTTTTGATGAAAAAAAAATTGGGAATTCATGTTTTATAATTTTTGTACAATTTTATTTGAATGAAACAAAAAAATTCAAAATTCTATATCTTTTCAAAAGCCCTGGTAACACATGCTGATTTTTTGTCTAAGAACATGTAATGATATTATAAGTTTAAATTTAGAATATCTTGGAAAATTATCAGTAGGTAAGTTACGTTGCGTTGGCTATAGAGCAAATTTTATTGCGAATATTATTCAAATTATGATTATAAAAATCAACACATATCACTGGGTTGTTTGTATATATAATCTTAATGTGTGACTAACTGGAAATGATTCTCCGAAATAACATTCATGTAAAAAGTATGTGTATATATATAATTGAGGTAATCAAAAAGTAATTATAATTACATTGGAAATGTTAGCTGTAATCGATTAAATTACGATTACAAGTAATCGAAAATCTCTTAGATTACAGATTACTGTCGATGACTTGAAAAAAAAGTAATCATTACAATCGATTACGATTACTCGATTTCGATTACTCCATGCCTGAAACTTTGTCCTATATTCAGCATTCAGAGCCATTGGGCAAGGAGGGATCTTTTACGTGTAAGCACCTACTGCAACACGGGACCTCGATTTATACGGTCTCATTCGAAGGACCGGTCTCTACGTCCCACAGTGGGATTCGAACCCACGACGTAAGGATCAACTCCTTTATAATTTCGCGACTCTAGAGCAGACGCTCTAACCACTGCGTCACGTGGGCGACCAAGGTCAAAGGAAAGATCAAAGTCTAGTTGTTCCACCAAAATGAATTAATATATTAAATTTAATAAAATATCTATTAAAGCTTTTTTGATAAAACAAATTAAAGATACGTGATCAATGTAAAAATAAATGTTAAGTTTAAAAATGTTGAGGCATTTTTATAGCTCTTGTAAATATGTACATGTATATGCAAGTGAAGTTTAGTTGAGTTATCTTCCAAGTTGATAATTTCTTTATGATCTAAGCACAAAGCATTCCGAAAGGATAGAATACGGGTATGAAACACAATGTATAATTATACCTAAGCCATTTAATTAGAGGAGATTACGATATCTTTTTTATCTCCTTTTACTTTACAGATCTACATGTAAGTATGAACTGTCAAGTGTATGATTAGTACAATCTTTATTTAATACTTTCCATTGTCAATAATAGATTGAAAGATATTGTTTAGTAAAAAAAAGTATTTTTTTTTAATTTAGTCAATTAATTAACCTGTATAAAACTTGTGCCAAGAGCAATAACTAATACATCTTTGTATCTTCATTTTTTAGAACTTCAGTGATCAGAATATTATGAATTTGAATCAGTTTTTACATAATTTTGATACAAAAATCAATTTTAATAAATACATTTTCTTGTTACTTATATCCAATATATTTAAAAATGTAATTTATATTTACTTTGAGCTATACGTGTATTCAATGAGAACAAATGCACTTTGAAACCGTCAATTTTTTTTAAATTAAATACCTTAATTATATGATAGATGAAATGATATATGATATGAAATGAATTGATATTAGTATAAGATGAGGAGGTTCTCAAATACATGTAGATGTGTACATTAATACATATTGAAGTTATTGTGTCAAAATAAAACACTTGTATGTGCATGAGCATTTTGAGCAGCTCCGGAGGGGGAGGGGGACTCCTTTTGAATTCGCAGAGTTGTTAAGTGTACAGTGTATTTATACAAAACAGACTAAAAGATACCCTGGAAAGCCAAACCCCTAACTAAAAAACACGGACATCAGGAAAAATGACATTAAAACTCATACAGATGAAGACATAGATAGAAGTGAGCGCCCCCACCATCCCCACACATCGTTCTCTCACCAATTCTACGAAATAGGTTTTTCCCAATTCTGAAAGGAGGTAACTTTTTTTTTACCTGAACAGAAATTTCTGGGTTCTTTTTTGACAGGGGTGGACCCCCAACTCTTGGAAGAGATTTCTGGATCCACGCCTGAAACAATTAAGCTTGATAACGTTGCAAGAGAGATAACTCTTTTTTCAGAAAATTGACAAAAACCTTAGATTGCAAAGAATGTCATTATGATGGTTTGCATGGTTTACAAGTTTGCAACGAGCGCGACATGTTACAAACTATGAATTAAAAAATATATATATAGAAGAACAGACAATTTGTCTCAACATCTGTCATCTGATTGTGAGCAAGTGAGGTCGGTAAGTTTTCTTTTATTGGAAAAATATTTAAATTTTCTTAAGCAAATATACTTTCGGTTTGCATATTTTTCGACAAAGCTGACAAGGTCATCGAAGGTTAAAGATATTTCATATTATTTCATTTTATGACCAAGTTAACAGTCAGCTTAAGACAAGGAAATAATTCTATTTAATAGTCGATGAATTTCATTACATGTATCACATATTCTTTTTTGTAGAACTTTAATTGAGCATGGATCCCCGCCTCAGTGCCCAGGATGTGATCAGATGTGACCTGTGTGAGACAGCTATAGTACAGATGTACTGTGATTTCTGTCATGTCAACCTTTGTAAACCCTGTATTGGTGAACACATTGCTGATGAATATGACAAACATAAAATTGTCCCATTCGATCAAAGAAAATCAACATTAATTTTTTCAAAGTGTGCAACACATCCAACAAAAACATGTGAAATAAAATGCAAGGAATGTAATATTCCTGTTTGTACCTTATGCTCTGCATTGCAACAGCATAAAGGACACAATTTCTTAGTTCTCACAGAAATATACAACTCAAAGAAAAATGATATCGCAAAAGATACAGAGGAATTACAAAACATTATTTCTCCAACATACGAAGAAATCACAAACGATCTAGAAACACAGATAGCTAACTTGGATGGAGAGTATGATAAACTTACAACAGCAGTGACAGAACATGGAAAAGTATGGCACAAAGAAATTGACAATGCCATCAATGCCATGAAAAAAGAAATTGATGATTTAAAAGGAAAACATTTTGACATTCTCAAGAAACATGCAGAAGAAGTGAAACAAATACAGTCTTTTATAGAACAAACTCTGCTCAACCTGAAGGAAATTGAAGAATCAAATCAAGTGTCCATGACCATAGAATACAGCTCCAGAAACAAAGAATTCAGTAAACTTCCTCGTAAAGTTCAGGTATCACTGCCAATGTTTAATCCTATACCAGTAGATAGAGAACAGATTTACAAGTTGTTTGGATCTCTTGCACCTTTATCTACCACAACAGAAGAAAATGGCTACAAACTGAAGAAGCCAGAAATGTCAAACAGGGAATTGCTAGAAGAACCTGTCACTATTATAGATACTGGATATGAAAACCTCCGCAATGTTGCCTGTCTAAGTGAAGAAGAAATCTGGACAAGTGCCAAAGTGAGTGATATGAAATGCTTTAACATTCAAGGCTCACTTATCACTGCAATCAAAACAAAGTCAGGAGAGAGACCAGGTGATATAGCAGTGACAAGTGATGGGGATCTAGTGTACTCTGATGGGGCAACAGGGACTGTGAATAAAATAAAGAATGGACAGACAGAGGAGATGATCAGATTACAGGGCTGGGTACCATTTAATCTCTGTGTCACCTCCTCTGGTGATCTCCTGGTTACCATGTTCAGTGTTGATCAAACACATTCAAAAGTTTTACGTTACTCAGGCTCCACAGAAAAACAAACAATCCAGTTTGATGATGAGGATAAACCTCTGTATTCGGGAAATAACAAAATCAAGTACATCAATGAAAACAGAAACCTGGATATCTGTGTGGCTGACAATGGAACTGGTGCTGTAGTGGTGGTCAACCAGGCTGGTAATCTGCGATTTAGATACACTGGTCATCCTTCTACTACCAAGGACAAACAATTTAAACCTTTTGGCATCACGACAGACAGCCAGAGTCAGATCCTGACATCAGACTATCATAACCACTGTATCCACATTCTAGACCAGGACGGACAGTTCCTCCGTAATATAGATGACTGTGATCTGCAGAATCCATTTGGTTTATGTGTGAATAAAAATAATTTGTTTGTTGCTGAGTGGGGAGGAAAGGTGAAGAAAATGAAATATCTGGAATAGACATCCCTGTATATATGATCGCGTTTAACGAGGCTGGGGTGTGGCAGCCATTTTCAGACTATTTTGATCTCCTTTAAAAGAAGAGCTCCATATAAAGATATACAAAAATGATCAAATTTTAAAACTAAAATGTAGGAATTTTTTCTTTGCCAAATGATAGTTGACAGCTTAAGATACCATATCTAAAAAAATTGTTAAATCTGGTGGTTAATTTATGGTTAGTTTGTTGATCCCCCTAGCCTCCTTAAGCTTTATTGTTGAATAAATTTTGTATAAAAATTGAAATATTTCAAGTTATCAGAAGAGATGGGGGAAAATGTATACTACATAAACATCAAAATAATTTCAGAGCAATTTGTAAATTTAATTACGGAATTGGAACAGTGTAAATATTAGGATAAAATGAAGTTATACTTTTGATTACTTTATCATCTGCTTGTTACCCTTAAATTCAATGGAATAATTTATCATTTCTTGTGAATTATAATTTTTGAAAAATAATTCTTATTTTTTGTTTATTGACATTGTAAATAAATGTTGTATATCAATCATGTTTGAACTGTATATTTGTGGCAACTTTGGTCATTAGATAATTCATCAAACGTTAACATTTCTTATTGTGATGAAAACTAGACAGGCCTATTTGGTGAAGAAGAATGTACGCTTCGGGCTCTATTGTGCCGTAAAAGTTTAATGTACTTAAAAAGTTATGAAATTGGCTTTTACAAAAATTGAGTGGATGAATAAGATAAATCATTAAAGAATATGGCAGGATGTAGGACCGTTCTTGAAATATGACGTCATTAATTTGGTACATTTTTAAGTGTAATGCAAAAAAGCCACAAAATGATTAATTTCTGTGCTTATTTTCCTTCAGAAAAAGTGTCTGCCACCGTCGCTCAGTTCAATTTTTTGTAGTATAAAATGTTGACTGTTTGAAAATGACATATCTTAAAATCTTTGTGGGCGACGGTGGCAGAGTATGTATTCTTAAAGAAAATATCACTGAAAAATTAATGTCTTCTGCAACTTTTTAAGAAAATACGGGAAAATGAACAAGTTAATGGCGTCACAATTAGCATTTAGAAGGTCATATGAGAAAAACAATTTTTATATTCTTACTGCATGAAATTCCAATGAATCAGAAAGAATGAGTTTTAATTTGTTATATTACTTTCATATTTTAGATAACTACAGGGCTTAATTTGTATTGAAAATGTACCTTCTTTTTTGATTTTATATGTAAAAGCTATTTAAAGATAGAAAAATTGGATCATTTACCTTAATGTTTTTTTTTCTCTAAATAGCTTAAAATTTTATCTAGCGTTATATGTGTGCTTATATCTTGCACTATATGAAAACATCATGTCATTATTTTATATATTTTAAATTATGTGAAGTTAAATTTATTGTCAATTGTTTAATGAACTTGAGCCATATTTAGAATTTTAAAGAAAACTTTTTTACTGATGAGAAGAGATGTATGCCCAGCAGATAATTGCATGTATCTGCATGCATTCCCTTTCTAAAAGAAGCACAAATGAAAAAAATTACTTGTACCAACACGCAATACTCAGTATCCTTTTTACCACTTTTTAGTTGTGTGATAATAAAGGAATCAGATACCAATATTTATCGATTGATGTCAAGAATATGAAGTAAGAAATATTCCTAATAACAAAAAGACACGTTTTCTACCATATTGTAATTTGTTTGTTTGTTAATATTATTATTTAAGGTTTTTCGCTCATATGGATACGACGCCACTTTCCGCTGGAGAGCTGCATATTTTGTCTTATACACGGCACTTAAGGCCGTTGAGCAATGAGGGATCTTTTTTTGAGCCAGCATCTACTGCGAAACAGAAGCCCCCTTTATACTGTATCATGCGGTCTCCATGTCCGACAGTAGGATTCGAACCCGCGACGTAAGAATCAACTCCTTCCTGACTCTGGAGCAGACGCTTAAACTACTGCGCCAGGCGGGCAACTATTGCAATTTGTAGTGCCTCTCTTGTATTTCATGTAAATATACATTGACTATTGCACTCAAATACTTCGAGTCGCCCGCATGGCGCAGTGCTTAGAGCGTCTGCTCTAGAGTCGCGAAGTAAGGAATCAATCCTTACGTTGCGGGTTCGAATCCCACTGTTGGACGTGGAGACCGGTCCTTTGGATGAGTTCGTATAAACCGAGGCCACGTGTCGCAGTAGGTGCTGGCACGAAAAAGACCACTCACTGCTCAAAGGTCCTGAGTGCCGAGCATAGGACAAAATTTGTAGCCCTCCACCGGCAAGTGGTGGTGTCTCCATATGAGTGAAAAATTCTCGAGAGTGACGTTAAACAAAATACAATCAACAATCAATCAAATACTTCGATGAAAAAAAAATCTGCAGTGCCTAGATAATAAATATCAGAAACATGCAGAAGTATTCTTCCTCAACCGAGCTTAAAGATCAAGATTATGATCAAGTGATGTCTACAGAATTTACGTAAAGTTCTTATAAAGTTCTTCTTATTATCTTTCCAAAAACAACTAGGTAAAATAAGGTCCATTGAACATAATTTATTAATACCTAAACTCAGTTACAAAATAAAAATTAAACTGTTTTTTTTATATGAAAAATAAAGAAATTCAGATATAAAGAACAAGGTACGGTTTCAGTACAAATATTGCCCTGTGATTTTCTTAAATTTGAAACTGTTAAAAAAAACTTATGATTATTGATTCATTGAAATTCCATGCAGAAAAATCATACAAATTATTTTTTTCTCAAATGCATTTTTAAATGCTAATTGTGACATCATAAATATGGCTTGTGCATTCTCCCGTCTTTTCTTAAGACGTTAAAGAAGACACAATTTTCAATGGAATTTTCTTCCAGATAATATTGTACACAGACACTGCCCACAAAGATTTTGAGATACTTATATGTGATTTTTTTTATTGAATTTTGTGCATCCTATCCAAAAGGTAAAGTGGGCGACGGATGTGGACACTATTTTCTGAAGGAGAATTACCCGTGAAATAGGTCATTTTGTGGCATTTCTGTTTAGAATTGAGAAATGCATCAAATCAATAATATTGTTTTGCGTATTCCATGTATTTTGACCATTACTTTAAAATTTTATTACATTGATTATAAGTATCGGAGTTATATTTGACCTCATTTTTAATTGAGTACCATGATAATGCTTCTGAATCATTTTCTACACAAATCTATATAATGCCGTAACGTACGGGAAAAATTAAGGTGAATATCAAATATGACTTCGAATTTATTGTGGATCTAGCACCAAACGACATTCTTTACGCATTAACTAGATCGATCTTGACTTAAAACTTTTCACATTCTTGACTTCTTCTAGTAAACCATTTGGTCGATTTCAACAAACTTGTTAAAAAGCATCGTCGGGTGAAGGGATTATTTAAAGTAGTCATATGAAGGATTATGCTCTCATACAAGGAAATATAATTCAGATATAGCAAATCTTTGTTATGTTAAAGATCTTGTTAATGATACTGGTTTTAAATCGCTTAATGAAATAGCTGATATATTAAAGTCAAAACGAAACTATCTTTGTGAATATTTAATATTAAAAAACGTTGTTTGCATGTTTTAAAAATTTTCGTTTCAAGAACTACTAGTACTGGACAAAAGAAAATTGAAACTTATAGAAAACCTTCATTACAGAGTGAAAGTTCACGTCTGCTTAGATGATGACCCCCAAGAGTAGGCTTGGGCAACAATAGGTGATTTAGTATTAGGAATATATAGGAATTTTTTTTAACAATCTTCTTTCTCAGGAAAAGTAAAACTATTAAAAATCATTTTGATATGGAGGTATTCTCAGGTAGTGTAGATTCAAATTGTTCAAATCATGACCCTCGGGATTAGGATTTGGATGTGATCGTTGCAATTGAGCAAAAAGGGAACTTTTTCTTGAAAACAACTATCTTGGTTTGCACGATCTCCTCTGAAAGACCGGTTTCCATATCCCACAGTGGAATTCGAACCCGCGACGTATAGATCAAGTCCGTACTCAGCGCATCCAGTGCAGGTGCTTCTACGACTGCGCCAAGCGGGCGACCATATTAATATGAAAGCAACCTCAAGAAGCTTGTTTAAATAATGACTCCTTGGAGTAGGATGTGGCCACAATGAAGGGGGGGGGGGGGGTGAAAGGTTGTACATAGGAATATAAAAGGGAAAATCTTCTCTAGAACACCAAAGGGATTGATAAAGTATGGTATTTTCAAATGTCTCATATTGAAACACACGGAAAACGTCAGCATGATTTTGCTTAGGATGCATTTGTATTTACTTTTTATTTACAAATCAGATTTGTCAATGTTTTTTGTGTACATATACATTGTGACATTTTAATAGTGCCCCTTCCACTCCATTGGATATAAATATTTTTTAACGACACTTAAGTTTATTTGATCAATGCAAAGTCACCCCTACTAATGTTATTGTGATTTAAATTCAAGACACGTGGTTCAGGTTGATCTATTCAAAGGTTATAGGGTAGAACCGGTTTTATAAATAGAATTGGCAGTAAACATGATATTGATATAGCCTGTTTCTTTTGAAAACATGTCCTATAATAAATGTTTCCAGACCTTTCTGAAAGACTTTCAAGATTTTCAACTGATAAAGGATGGCTAAAGTATGGGGTGTTAAAATAACAATATATCTTATACTTTTCGGCGAAAATTAAAGCTCACTAGTGACCGATTCGCTGGTATAAAATGTGCATTATCATATACACTAACAAACCTTTGTTTGCCTTATATGGCTATTGTTATAAATGCGCACAGAGAATCTTACCACGAGCAACTGACCAATCGTTGAATGAATAGCAACGTTTACGCCAAATACATGTTTACATTTTACTTCGAACACGTAGTTCAGGTCAATCTACGATAATTTTAATGGAGTGCAAAATGAAAAAAA